AGAAAATTTTTTGGTCGCTACCCGGATTCGAACCCGGGACCTTTGAATGAGAGGCCAACACCTTAACCTCTAGGCCACGAGAGCCCCCTACAATCCATAGCAAGCCAAGGCTCTTTGGCACAGCTTGACAGAGTACAGAACCAAGCACTCAGATTTGTTTCTGGTGCGATGAAGACCACGCCGACAAGCGCCTGCGAAATCCACACCAACATAGAACCACTGGACCTCAGAAGAAAGAGTGCTACACTCGAAACCTACGAAAGATTTGTGCGACTAGAAAACCCGAACGAAAGCAGAAAAATGGCAGAAGAGTGGGAACCAAGAACACGCATCCAGAAGACCTCCTCCATGCGAGAAGCAACAAAACTACTTGAGGAGTTTGACCCACCCAAGAACAGAGAACCAATCACCAACATCAGCAGCGAACCTCCATATTGGCAGGCACTAGAAATGACAATAAGGACGAGACTTCTAGATCCTTCTTGTGCCATGACCATACCAGAAGAAATCCTCAGAACTAGTGCCCTGGAGACAGTGGACTCGTATATTGAAACCCCAATTCATGCATACACAGATGGGTCAGCAACAAACGCGACACGGAATGCTGGATACGCACCCATCATCAAATATCGAAACAACCTTGGAGAGAAGAATCAGACCCAACTATTTGGCCGATGTGGAACATACAGCTCCAACTATGACGCAGAGAGAGTTGCCATTGTAAAGACCCTGGAGCAGATCACCCAAGACTTTTTTGAAGGTGCAGTAACACCAGGAGATGTTGTTGTCTTCTCTGACTCAATGTCAGTACTCCAAGCTGTCGAAGGAGGAAGAGGAGACTACAGAGGGGACGGGAACATTCTTAGCCTTGTAAAACAGATGGGCACTACCTGGCGTCCGGGTCACACTGCAATGGGTGCCTGGTCATTCTGGAGTACCAGGGAATGAAACTGCAGACCAGCTATCAAAGACTGGAGCAAGCCTGCCCCAGACAGACACAGCCGTCTCTTTACAGACCTGCAGAAGGATCATCCAAGCCAAAAGCAGAGACGAGTGGCTGAACAGATGGGCCAACGCAGAAACAGGAAGATCTCTCTTCGGGTACATGGACAAACCCAACCCCAAAGACCCATCGAATCTCTTATGTAGAGCTGATCAGACTTTGATCTTCAGAGCGCGCACAGGACACTTACACACCAACAAGCACATAAACAGAACCCCACTTGGGAACCCCATTGCAGACACTGTGACTACCACGAGGAGACCGCTGAACTTGAACATCTCCTTCACTGCCCAAACCTGGCAGTTCTTCGACTCAGGCTCCTACACACACCTACAGACTTACAAAGCCTGCTCTACTCTGGCGTTGACAAATGACAAGGACATGTGGTTACTTGAGGGAAGCATTGCGCTGCCAAGAGCGAAATGCTCGCAGCTAAAGGGATTTGAAAACAACAACAACATATTTGTTTGCAATGAGCACTGAAAAGTTATAATACGGTATCGAGCTATATATACATGTAATATATTTTTATATTTTATTTTTATCTGCATTTATGTCTTATAAAATTGCAACCATGTTAATTATTACCAACAATACAAATATATATCATAAAGATGTTACTTTTATAGCTCCCTGTCACTTATGTCTCTAAGAAAGTGTTTCACAGTGTTTATCTTCCACAGCAGACCATTTGATTCTTTTTCTTCTTCGTTTCAAGTCCATTCAAAAGAGTAGTAAGCCATTCAATCATGCTACATGTAACTTCATTAACTCAATGTTATATAATGCTCCTTTTTCGACTTCATCTGAAACTTCTAGACATCATAGATTAGAGCATACCAGTTGAAGAAAATGGTGTAAAGCACTCTTATGCTTTTGTTAATAGTGTCACTGTTTGATATTGATATGTATTTTCTTGAAATTCTGATTTGAAGATTCATTTCGATTTCTAGAATTCATGTTGTATGGATAAAAAGAGCAAGTTGTTATAGCACGAATAAGTTTTTACAACACCAAAACCCAAAAAGCGCCAATATTTCGGGATGAGTAAACCATGCGCATGAGAGAAACACAATTTGGAGTGGTCAGGCAGGGGGTCAAATCAGGAAAAGTCAAGACATTTCAGGTTCGAGGGTCAAAAATTGAGGATTTTAGAGCCAAAAAACATGGCTTTGGTGTCCAATAGACCCCAAAGATGGAAATAAGGTTTTAAAGAAACTGAACAAGGGGCAAAAACTGTACCTTCGACTTTCTCAAAACAACATTTTTCGGGGTAGCCCCCTTGTACTTCGAGCATTTATTAGTATTACAGTTTAAGCCTATTTGCTTTTTGCTTTTTTCCGGCATCTGTTACCTAACAGTGCTAGGAGAGGAAGCAAACGTCGTTCTGCTGTTGTTCGTTGTATTGCCTTCTTCTATAGATTGCTTTCATTTTATTTTCTTTATTTTTTTTTTTTTTTTTTTTTGGGGGGGGGGGTTGTCTAATGCTCTTCTGACTCTGACTTTCTCTCCGTCTTTTTCTGGGTCTGCCTCTTCCTCTACTTTATATTCATCTGATCACTAGTATAATACTATAGCTGTACGCTCCCGCTGCTATACTGTCTGGTAGTAGTTTCGACAGATGTCCAGACCATCTCATTTGTTGTCTAAAGCCCACATGATGTACTACGGCACATGTCCGTCCCCGTCGTTTTATGAAAAAAAAGGAAAAAAAAGAAATTATGCAAATTGAGCCCAAAAAATGTGAAATTATGTGATTCTGTTTGGGGGGGGGGGTTTGGGGGGTTGAGTTGTTTTTTTACATAGAATGATAAAGGAAAATAATCAGAAATTATGCAAAAAAATATCACATTTTGCTAAATTATTGGTGCATAAGACCACGGGGACAGACATGTACAGGCAGGGAGATGAGCCAACTTGTTATCTCAGATCCGACAATGTCATTTCTTTGCCTGGGTCTCTTCTTGTGGGGTTCTAAGATTGTCTAAGTGTGCAGGCACTGTTGAGATGCTTTCACTTTCACCTCACCAACGTCTCAAGTCTCACCTCTTTGATGATGCGCACCAAAGAAGGTGAGGAGAGGAGGGGAACCAGAGTGGAGTCGCTTCCCCCTCCACTGTCACCGTTCAAGATAGTGGCAGCCCAAGTCTGCTACAAATATTGTAAAGGCAGTTTAAGTCCTTTATACCGTTATACTGATCCATGAGCTTCATCGATCCACCGCAATCGAAAGTGAGAAAAATGAGGCAACTTTAGAATCGACCTATCACAACAACCTTTTTTTTTTTTTCTTTTTTTTTTTTGGTAAGTGTTTTATGGCGCTCGCACTGCATAAGGTCATATGAGCGTGTGGGACACTCATTAAACATTCTCAGTTGGAAGGAAATTTGGAACTTTGCCCGGGTGGCGGCCGAAGCCTACTCTTATCGATTTTAGTATGGACCACAAAGGGATGATCTTTAACGTGCGCAAATTGAACACGGGACCTACTCTGAGATTTGTTGCCCTCGTCCGAGAAGGCTACAACAACAACCAGTACAAGAGCTACCAAGACTGTGGAGGAAAACAAATTCGTGAAACATTAATGGATCATTTCAATTCTAGAGAAGGCCTCGAGCCGTGGCAGAATATTATGAGCTTTAACACCCAATACAGTTAGACTAGACGCTCTGCATTTTGAGCAGTTACCGTATTGCACAGAAAAGAAAGGTAGGCAATCATCGTAATCCACGTTCAGATCTCAACTTTAATGCTAGCAGCAACCGACAACATTGACAACATTGTGTGTGTGTGTGTGTGTGTGTGTGCGCGCGCGCGCGTGCGTGCGTGCGTGCGTGTGTGTGTGTGTGTGTGTGTGTGCACATGCGTGTGCTGTAGTTGAGATGTCTTGTCCTAAGACCTGAGCTTTTTTGGTCAGCAGCAATTAAAAACTCAGGTTCCATGCTCACTAATAGTAGTAATAGTAATCAGCAATTGTTCGCTTTTACTTTTAAGGACAAGCACGACAACCCAAATTTCGGGGGATTTCAGAAATCTACACCAAAAGTGGGCATTGTCCTACCTATAGGAGAAGTTTCGTTTCATTGGTGTGTATATTTGTTTGGTTATGGGGGAAACTTTCCTTGTCTTACTTTTAAAGAGACTGAATAAAGATCCAAAAACTTTTAACTTTGATTTTCTCAAAATAGCGTTTATCATGATAGCTCCCTGGCGCTCAAAAGCGACCAATTGTCTGATGACTGGTGCGCCAAGGCGACTAAAATTAATTAAGTTAGTTAGCAAGCCCTATCTATTTTGGAGAGTGAGCGGCCTCCACTCTGTCTCGTGCAACTGTAGTCACACATATTAAATTTCAGCGTCGGCAAACAGGAGACTGTTTGGTGCCGGTGTGAGGGGAAGGTGAGGTCAAAGCGACTCCATTATGCCCGCACGCTTAGGCATCTAATTTCACAGGTGATTCTTTTACTTTGGTAAAACTTGTTTTCGTCCATGTTTGAGCTTGGTTACACAGTAAGCCTATTGGTATATATAAATATGCTGTATAATTAATTGGTGCTTTGTTTCCATTGCAATGTTGAGATGTGTGAAAGTAAATTGCCAGTTGGTAAACCACAACACTTGTCTTTTTTTCATTCGGTTTTGTATTTCTCTGTCTATCTTTCCATCATGGGTGAACTCATTTCGAAAGAATTTGATCTCTTCCAGGTTGCTTGATTTTGCTATTATAATGAATACCATGTACTAAATCTAATGTAAGTACAAAACTTAAAAACTCACAATCAGTTCAAACATGGCTTTATGTCACTTTCCAACAATACTTCTATCACATAACATGTATTAAATCCACAAACATGTATTCCTTTCACATTTATTCCATCTGTTCACAGCTACATTCTTCAGTTCTACATACATACATACTTCTACACACATTCTTAATTCATACTATGCACAGATGAAGAGTGAAATAACTCTTATATTCCAAACATACCTGTCTACTATTAAGAAAACATCACAATAATATGAAATACAAAGATGGCTTTCCAAACAGTCATAAACCAAAAATGGAGGCAGTTTGAATTAATAAAGAATGTGAAAGTCTTCCATGCAAAATCACAATGTAGCTAGCATGTGTCACAATCTCAAGAGTTTAAAACTTCTCCCTCATTCGTTCAAATGATGCAATAACCCTTTGACCAGAGTAGCCACAGAATTATAATGAGTGAACAGAGCTCTACCGTAAGCTGACAAAACACCTTTTTTTCATTTCCGAGACAAAATTTTTTATTTGCTAAATCGAAACCTTGATCAGTTACCCAACTTGTGTGAGAAAATCAAAGTGAAACTGTGACTAGTTTTTTTTTAATAAATTTGAATTCAAATTTCAGAAAACACTATTTTTCAATGGTTACAAGTTACACTGACAAAAAAAAAACCTCTTTTTCTCGAAACTGCTGGGACAAAAAAAAGGCGATATTGTCAGCATACAGCAGAGCTGGCAACAACACAATCTCATGTATCACCAGTTTTACTAGTCACAAAGCCATCAAACACTCATAGACCTACGCAAAATTGTAAAACTCATTTCGAAATTGTCAATTTTTGATCTGTGGCTCTGTCTTCGTCCAAAAATTTCAGCCGAATGTTTTCCTCAAAGTCAAAGTAAGTCAGAAGCTCTTCCTGTTCTTGCAACTCCTTCACCTGCTGCTTCATCTCCTCGATCCTCTCCTTCTTCCTGTACTCGGCCATCTGTCTATCCAGCTCCATCTGCTGTTCCTGGCCCCACACCTTGAATAGAGCCTCTTGCTGCGAGATCTCTGCGGATTCGAACTGCTGGACGCTCGCGGTAGCCATGTCCAAGACAGACTGACCCAGATCCACACCAGACACGACACGACCCTGGGCTACAAGCCGCTCCCGGAGTCTACCCAGCTCCTCCACAAATTCTTCCTTCTCTTCCCTGGTGGGCAAGAGCTTGCGAATTTCATCGTCCATTGTTCTCAGGGCAATCTCCACCTCTGGCTCGTCAGCCTCTCTAGCCTCCACTTTGTCCAGACTTTGAGAGAAATATTCCAACGCTTGTTCCAGGACATTCCCTTCTGTTGACTCAGCGATGTCCTTCAGCCTAGCCAGACCTCTGGCAAATTTGTGATACAAACCACTACCGATAACTTTCAAACTGTTCCTCACATCACTCGGGACATCTATGCTGTCGGTATTCCCAATCATGAGCAACGTTTTGCCCAGGAGAAAACGCTCGTCCTTAATATCCATGTGATCGTCGTAGTACGGATACCGGATGTACTTCACTTTGATCCAGTCCTCTTCACCATCAGAAGCTTCTGGAGGGGGCGGGGCTAAATCGTCGACATCCGTGCCCAACAACCGTTGCGTGCATGCGTGTAGAGCCAACCAGGCATTGATGGGGTTGGAGAAATCCTCCTGTATGGTGGAACAGTAGGCCACCTGGACCGCCTCGGCAAAACGCTCCTGTCGGATGAAATAGTCCATGAGGAGGTTGAGGGTGTAGTGGTTGGGCAGGATGCCGAAGTGAAGCCGGTCGGCCAATAGCGCTGGGAGGCGGGCGCTCTGACCCGCAGCGATGTAGCTCCGCACAACCGCATGGGACGTGGAGTCACTGCGAGGAAGGCAGTCCTGGCAGTGACTGAATCTGATGAAAGATATTAATAAAATAGTGATGACGATAATAATAATGCTAATAAAAACAATAATTGAATGTATAATAATAATAATGATTATAAAAATAATAATAAATTTCACTTACACAAAGCGCATTCTCACTTAGAAAGTGCTCAATGCCATTAACAATAATACAAAAAATACAAAGAACACAAGCATCATACAGTTCTAATAGAGATCATTCCTCTCTCTCTCCCTCTCTCACCAAAAAATAAAGGTAAAACGATCAATCACATCCTTCCCCTCCCCCAACCCCCACCCCATCCCCTCCTTGTTCATTCCACTCCAGTTGATGATGACTCACAAAATCCCTATTATTAGAGAGAGGCCACATTACAAGCGAGAGAGCAGGGCTGAGCATGGCAAGAAAGAGAGGAAACATAACCGATATTTCTATTTAAATGGCCACATCACGAGCGGTTCCCGCACAAGTCTCGTTAGTATTGAAAACAGTGTATAAAAAAGTAGTCTTAATCCACAGGTTTGCCAGGCAGAATGCTGAACCTTTAATAAGAAAGTGCTCTTTCCCTGTTTGTCTCAGTCCACCAAGCTATGACTATGATTCACCACTCAGCGATCGGTAGCGATGGAATACCTGAATGATAACGACATGTGCCTAACGGGAAGTAGGTGGTAAATTGAATAATAACAAAGAGGGTACATAACAAGATGGTCCACTCAGCCAAAAAAGGAGAAGAATATGAATAGCACCTCCTTGCATGCGCAGATCGACTGCTGTTCATCAGCTGTTTGGGTTCATTCAGTGAGGAGTTTTAGGGATTTTTTAAATCTTATTGACCTCTCGCCTCTCATTCTAAAGTCAAATTAAACGAAGAAAACAGTCACCCCTTCCTCCAGAAAAGGATTTTTTTTTTGTCAGCGTAACCATTTTAAAAAAGCATTCTTCCGAAATTTAAATTCTTATTTATTCAAAAACTTGTTAGTTTCACTTTGATTATTTAATTAAAGACAAGTACGGTAACTCTGTTCGCAAAGGGTGTGCATTTGCGAAGAGGGCGTCACCTAATTTTGAGGACCGTTTTTTAATTGGCTCAAAGAGAAGAGTGGACCCTCTTGTTATGTAGACTCTTTGAAAATAATAATAATAATAATAATATAATAATAATAATAATAATAATAATAATAATAATAATAACAATAATAATAATAATAATAATAATAACAATAATAATTAATAATAATAATAATTAATAGCGTTTATGCTGTGCATTTTCATTTTCTAAAAAATGCTCAAAGCGCATTACATCAATTATAAAGATATCACAATTGAACAATTGAGCAAGCAACCCGAAAAGTTATTCGGACTCCATGAGAGTCTCCTCCAGTCAGAGGGGACACACAACTAATGCATGACAAGAAAATAATTTTTAACTCAATCTCTAACAGAAGCAACTAGCTCTCTTTAACACCCCATTCCTAAAATGTACTGGACAAAATAGTTTAAATAATTTTAGACATATAAATTGTCCAAAATCAACTTATATTATATAAATTTGACTCATCTATTTCCATAGGACCAAAACCTGAGAAGTAACTCATTTAGTCAGCACGCCTCACATTTTGGCCCACTATTCCCTTAATAAAATCATTAATTTATGCTGGAAGTCAATTCAGGGGTATAAAACATCTGCATAAATCAGTACTCAGGTAAAGCTCCATGACTTTGCAATACGTCGGTGGCCTAGTGGTTTGGCTACCGGACTCGTAATCGAGAGGTTGCGAGTTCGGGTGTTCGAGCCGCGGGCCCGACATTGTGACCTTGGAAAAGGCACTTTACACGAATTTTCCCCACTTCACCCAGGTGAAAATGGGTACCCAGCTATAGACAGTGAAAGATCTTGTCAGTTTGTTAGTGTTTGAGCACTTAACCAGCTGCTGGCAATGTATGCTTCCCGAGAAGCTGAGAATGTTTCTGAGTGTTCTATGGTCTGCTGGGGTAAAAATATAGTGTAAAGCGCATAGAGAGCTTGCTTTCGAGTAGGGACATGCGCTATAAAAATGCTATTTATTATTATTTAATTCGTCAACACTTCCTTTCATACAACCAGCTTACGCCAAATGCTCAGAATCTTCTGGCCCGACAAGATTTCCAACGCAGGTCTGTTATGTAAATATAAGCAAGAGGACATGACCACCATAATAAAAAGGAGAAGATGGAGATAGATTGGATATGTTCTGAGAAGAGAACCAGACTCTATTGTGAAGACTGCCCTCCACTGGAGACCCCGAAGGACGTCGCAAAAGGGGCAGACCCAAAGTGACCTGGAGATGCACAGTAGAGTCTGAAATGAAGTCCTGGAATCATTCGTGGGGAACGCGGACCAAGATGGCCCAAAAGAGACAGAGCTGGAGATCCTTTGTTGCTGCCCTAAACGCCAGATGGCGTAATGGGTAGTAAGTAAGTAATTCGTCAACACAGAAGAGGCTACCTACCTATGTAAGATGTCCTCCATAAACTCCACCTCATCCTCCTCCTCCATGTGTTGCAGAAGATGGGCCAAGACATTCACGTCGACAGCCGAAGCTCTTCCCGTCTTCTCCAGCTCATCCCGCACTTGGAAGGCAAACTCGCTCAGTGACACCTGGGTAAAAGCAAAAACCATTGATACCATACAAACCATCAGTAATGAGACATGCTGCTTGACAAACAGTCTTTCAATCAACTGTTCAGTGTAATAGGGGTGCCAATTGGCGTGATCGGGTCGGGTCCGGTCCGGTCGGGTCGTTTTCTGGTGATGTCAGTGCACACTACAAAAATAACCCCATCGTGATTGTACCCAATGTCCTTGAAGTTAAAGTAGACTCAGTATTTCGAGCATAAATGCCTGACCTTGACATCGCAGTGTCAACATGGACACGCGACTCTTAGGTTACAAAGCCTTGGTGTGATTGGCTGCAAACCACCCGATTGCGCGACTCACAGCCTTGAAAACAAACGTTTTTGTCTTTTAAGATCACCGACAGCGTCGATAGGTTTGTGCCAGGATGGCTGCTTTTCGCCCTCACTATGGCTAACCCCCACTACCAAATCGACCCGATCCGACCCGATCGCGCTAATGGGCACCCCCTATAGGATTCTGTCATATGTCACTTTTCAAAACAGCATTTGGCGGGAGTTTTACACTAACCAGTAAAAATATCTTGTGTGGTTAGTAGTTCCAACTTTTTAACAAGATGTCAAGAGCCAATGCTTTTTTTTAAAAAGACAAATACCCCCCACCCCCCCTTAATACACACGCAAATACCACCCGAAAGTGAGCTCAGTATTTTTGTGAACAGACTAAGATGTGCTGAAAGGTAGGCTAGCAATTTACTTGAGCCAGGAAATACAGGGACTTCTTTTGGTAATGACAATTATCACATGTTCCAGAGAAAACATTTCAAAGAAATTATCAAACAGAATCTTGCTATCTAATCCATTAGAATGTTTGTCATCTTGGAATTTCAGGAAATGATACAACAACTACAGTGAAACCCGGATACAACAAAGACAAAGTCATCGAGCCTGACCTTCAATTTCGTTGAATCCAAAGTGTTCTTATAGCAATACAAGCAACAATTTCAAATAAGTGTAAGGCCTAGCCTACGTCAATGTTTGTTTCCACAGACCAGCACGCAATTCATTATAGAGCACTTTTCAGGAGAAGTGGTCACGGCATAACTCCATGGAAATTTGTATACACAATTGGAAACAAAAACAAGAAAGTCAGGTAAAAAAGCTGGCTGTTTGCATGGGTAAAAAGGCCACCGGTAAAGTAAATTTATAAAAAAGTTCCAAACCATTTTATCGTCACTATTTTACCATTTTTAGTGTGCTGAGAACGATTTTGGCTCTAAAAACTGTCACAAACCATTATTTCTGTGAATATCGAAAAAATTGAACTTTAAAAAAAAGCCCCTAAAAATTAATAAATACAGCAGTCTCAGCCTAAGATCCCGCTGTTTTAAGACAAACAGAATTTTTACTCTACAAAAGTCACCCCTAAAATCCCGCTCTGATTCACTCTGAAGGTCAACATTCGGTTAAGATTCCGCATTTCAGCTCATAATTTGCTAAACAAAAACCCAAGCGGGCACAGCCGATCAACCAAGAATAAAAAGTTGAGATCAATGAACTGCCCGTCGTGTCAAAGATAAGCCACTCTCATGAATGTGATCACATACGCGTTGTAAAACTTGATGAACCGGTGCAATGTTTGCCCCAAACGGGATCACACCAAGGTCTGAATTGACCGACGCATTTGTTTTCCCCAAACATTGCACTCACATCTGAACTCTCCCTCAAACTTACATCACTTCACTCCAGGCGGGGTCACATCGAACTGTGTACACTTCCCTAGCCATTGCCGCAGTTGTCTCTACTCTCGAATTTGCAAGACAGACTGAATTTTTATTGGTGTGGTCACAACATAGTGGCACGTAACGATAAAGGCGAAGGAATTTGGTCAGAGAAGGAAAGCTATAAATTTTGGACATGTAAAGCGAAGGGGCAACGGATTATAACCGTAGATCTTGAGACTAACGATAGGATAATTTAAAGTGAAAATGGCACGCCTCACGCCACTAAGCGCTGTGATAGGTCATCAAGGTTAACCACTCTTTGCTCGTCATATGTCATAAACCCACCCAGGGGGGCACGTAAGTTCATTTTAGAGTGAAGGGAGACCATTTTACTGATGATGGTGAGCCTTAACATGAGTTACCGTAGATTCCTCCCTGGGTTCGCCGGTTAAGATCCCGGTTCGCCTAAGATCCTGCATTCCCCGGCACTCTTGTTGACTATTCTCACCCGGGGTGAGAATAGAAATACGATCGACCTCTCACTCCGGGTGAGACTTGCCACCGTTGGCTATTCTCACCCGGTGCACAGCGGGTTTGGAGCGCCTATTTAGTTTCGGCTGGCGCGAGGCAAGCAAGCCCGCGCTTCCCCAGTTCACGGGGTCATTTACCTGCGCCGCCGGAGATTTCCCTTATCAGCCGAACACCGGCAGCGCTCTTGTATTTTTTGCAAAGTTTACTAGCACAGTGAGCCAAAGCTAATGTAAGATTAACATTTTAATAAAGACCACGAAAATATTCAACATACTAAGGAAGAAAATGAAGAAATCGGAAGACCATGTTGCATTACACTTAAAAGCTGTGAAGTTCTCAAAAAGGGGACTTAATTTGATAAATGTGTCATGGGTAATCAATTATAAACATCAATTTAAATGTGATTGCCCCAAATGAATTCAATCAAATTTGCACACAGGACTGAGAACATAATGAAATTTGTACTCACAAAGGGGCATATGCAAGAAGCTTCTGGATCCGTAATTATTCAGGTTTGAAGTAGATTTTTGCAATACTCTTGCTTTGTGACCTTGATCTTTCATAGCGATATCCACGATACATGTAACTACAGAACAGATCTTTCCTTGCCGATACACTTATGAAAACACAACCTAAACACAAAATACAAAAAGAACACAATATTGCTGGACTGGAGGAATTATCTCATTTTTCCGCTGTAAGCTTTCGTCTTTTGATGGGTGGTGCACACGACAGAGTAGCTTAGGGTGGGTTTGGACGTGTTTTTCTTTGTCTGTTATTGCTGCAACTCGTTTTTCCAGCTTGGCCATGGTTGCATGAGTGAGCTCACCCCCTTGCTCACCATGGAAGGCCATTCCAAACCCACATTTTGGTATCCAAAGAACGCAGTGTTTCTCAAGGACGTGTTGTTTGGGGATGACCTTTTCTTTTGATTGATTTTGATTGAGTAGCACGTGTTTTATACAGCAATATTGACTCAAGACCTTTTATTTGCCAAATATGTATCTGTATGAAGACATATATCGTGTGATGCATGACTGAATATGTGGTATTCTCTCTAAAGCGATTGGCTTTCCATATGCAATTACTGTGTGGATATCTTTGAAGGTGTCTTTTACGTGAACAAATTTCTCTCTCAGAACAATTAAAGCGGTGTCTATTATGCTTTGATTTCGTATACATGCAACTGTTCCTTTAGTTAAAAATGATGCTAGCTGTCTGTACACATGGGCTGTGATGTATTTAGGGCAGTGGTTTCCTATAAATGAACGACTGACTGACTGTGGTAGGCCTGTGGTGAGATGTTGTGTTGTTTGAGGATGTTATCAAATTCAGAGCAGGCAGGACCTTGGAATAAGCTCCTCAAAACTCTAACTCTGACAGCTGATCATGTACAGTAGAACCCTCCCTCTCAAATCTCTCTGCTTCTCATGGATTATCTGACAAAACCTGACAGCCCTGTAACAATTGAATGTCCCCCTCGTTTTTTTCAGCCCTCTTTCATTTTTTGCCGCAGATATGCACATTTTGTCCTATTCCAGGCGTGCAATTCTCCATAGATTGATGGGCCAGCTGTACATCTATATCATGTGCAGCCTCCTCAAGCAGGCGATGATGTTTGAGCACAATGCCCACCATATGATCATGTTGAGTGTGGCACTCCATGACAAAAATATTGTTAAAAATGACAACGAAAATCAGATGTAGTAGAGGCAAGAAAACTAAAAACAGCAAGGATGAATGTTCAGAGTGGTGGGTTGGTATTTTTTTTTTAAATCACAGAAAATCATAGAATAACTTAGTGCACTTGAAACTTGCACATGTAAATGAAAATTGTCACCACAGTCGATACATGAATTTCTGTTTAAATCGTTGGGGGGGCGGATTGAAATATTTAAATCCAAATTGAAAAAGTCCTGAACATTGAAGATGCCAGTTTGAAAATCACAGACTTACTTAAATCCCTTGTAAAACTGATATAATCGGACTTGCAAGAAAACAAGTTATACCGGCTTACAGGTCAAATATAGCACGTTACAATGAAATCTCAATCGACCTTGTAGCATTTTTATAGCTTCTGAGTTAGGAGGCTTTCAATTCGCACTAAAAAACGCCATATTTACTACTGCCCCGGCACTGGAGGAGTGGCGCTGCGGTCACCCCAATTAACCCCTCTGACAAGTGATTTATGACTACGCGCTGGGCTGTCGGGCGGGGCGGGCAGGGTGGTGAGGATGGTCCAGGAGGAACCGGGGAAGAAAAACTAAGTGAGCGGTCTGGACGGTATTTTATCCGCTGTGGGTGTGACACAAGACTTGTTTTTCCTAATTTCGAAATACTTTCTATCGGAGTGGATGATCTAATGGATAAAAGCAAAGAAAAAATTACGTTATAGCACAAAAGTAAGCTAATTTGATCGTCTACAAAGATGCTATGGCTATTTCACTTTTCGAATCGAGCCGAACTACGCGGGTCGCCATATTGTTTTGCCCAGAAGTTCTCGCAAGATCTACTCCTCCCCTCTTCTCTCTTTCTCTGTCTCTTTCTGAATACTGTCTATCGGTGGGGACGATGAAATTGACCAAAACAAAGTTTTAAAATGATGTTTAAACACAAAAGTAAATTAATTTGGTCGTCTACTAAGACAAGATGCCACGGCTATTTAACCTTTCGAATCGAGCCGAACTACATGGGTCGGCATTTTGTTTTGCCCGGAAGTTCTCGCGCTACTCCTCTCTCTCTCTCTCTTTTTCTCTCTCTCTCTCTCTCCACTGCCCAAAGACAAAATTGTACGCTTTTAGGCTAACAACAGTCTTTGAACAGTAGTAAGGGAACATTTGTTCACGACGCAGAATTCTAAAAATTTTCTGTAGAATTCTGCAGTTCAGGGTAAACGCAAAATTGGTTGGCCTAGATCTAGGCTATAACGGTGAACGCACACAGGGTGAGAATAGCCAAAAGACTCGCCTGCGCTATTCTCACCCCGGATGAGAATAGAGGTGGCCCACCACAAGATACGCATATTATGATTACAAAACTGACTTGTTTAACAGCTGGATCCTCAAGTTGCTTCCTCCATGCTTCGTTGCAACTGTAAGCTTCGCTCAAGAGAAATCGTCTTGGGACTCTGGCCACAGCACGGTGGCTTCTAAGAATCTTGGATGCGCACTGTCTAGTTGAGAGTGTCAACACTGTTCGCAAGGACGCTGCCATCTTGGAAATGAGAAACTTAAAAAATATGATTGAATGAATGCATTTAGGCTTGCGCTACGAAAGAAAAGAAATAGATCTAGGCCTAGAGGACTAAACTAGAAAGGCTCTGATCGCAACGAATAAAAGAATATGTTTTCCCCCAACAACATCCAGTGTTAAATTATTGTGCTTCCTGATTTGATCCTTTGTGTTCAAGGTGCAAGAAAGTAAATTATGATCGAAATAACTGGTCCATGGCCTTGGGACAACTTTGGGGCTGGTTTTTATTTACACTTTACAATTTAAACGCTTTTTTTCATAACAGGCTTAGATGTGTCTTCTGTAAATTCCCAACTTAATTTGTCTCTTGAAAGGCATATCATAGAAGAAAAAATTGAAATTGATTTGTTTTTTAAAAAAACAGATGCATTTTAAATAGGGGAGTCTATACTCAGCTTATACTAAAATCCTAGTACATGTATAGTATAGTTATAGATCCAGATAAAATACCTATTTACACCCCTTACGACAATTTACTCTATTCTGTTTCTTGCTCCTGCAGTTGACAAATTATTATGTCAAGATTTTTTATTTTTTAATGTAGTTGTTTTTTAAACCCCCATCGACACACCTTAGAATTATACAGGAGGCAGGCTCATGACCAACCTGTCGCGGGACCAACGGCTATGAGCAACATCCCAGCAGAATGGCCGTCGAGATACCCGATAAAAATTTACTCTGGAATGTCTAGGGGCTCTTGCATGTGACAACCAAGCGCTTAACCATTGCACCACAGACGTCGGTAAAATGTAAAGAACTCAAGTAGAATCAAAATTGTTACCTAAGACCACCAGACAAGCCATTGCGTCATTTTACGTTGTCGTTTAAATCAAAAAATGTTTGCGGTAACACAGAATAAGATATTGACGAGTGTTGCAACAGCTATTTTGACCAGATGGTACTAAAATGTGTAAACGTATTTTGAAAACATCAGGGACCCCCCCCCCCCCCCTTCTCTCTCGGCAAACTGAGCTGCAAAAACTGCTATTGATATATCTAGGCCTACATCCAAGGACAGTCCCAAGTCTGTTTAAAAACAGAGGAGAAATTACATAGATCCTGTCATCACTTCCAAGCCTATACAAACCGGCAGACCGTCATCTAAACCAGCTGACACCAGTACAGTGGTGGACCAAATGCATTGCTGTAGATCGTCGACAAAACTGGCTTCGCTTTTCTTTTCAGAGGGCTTTTACGGGAAGCTTATAGTTTACAGAGAGTATTTAATTATATTTTAGTGTCTCTGTAGTTTATAATAAAGGAGATAACTCTGGTTTATATTAGCTCCTCTCTGAAAATGATATTTTTCTCTGTTATCTCCCTTTCCCTCGAAGCAACACGCAGTGTGGTGACGCATGTTCTCATGAGTTGAATGAGTGTACAGTTTGTACAATGGGCAGGTTTTTGCCAAGGCCTACTCGTGGATTAACATTCCGTTCCCAAGTAAATGTTCCGTACTAGAAAAAGCCAACTACGTACAGAATTAGCGCAAGCTACGGAAGAATAAAAAGCCTTAGGTTTACATACCACCCCTACCCCTTCCATTGGTCCTCCTCCCAACTCTTATGTTGGGTATACCCCCGCATCCC